GGCCTGCAGGAAAGCTGAGCAGTGGGAAGGTTTTGTAGTGTGTGTTGTGGGAAGAGAATGAGTTACAGAAGTATAAAACTGATTGTAGCCACAGTGCTTTCATAACCGTGTTGGAGCATCACCAATATGGTATTAAGAAAATATCAAAGCTTTGGTTTAGATCATAACACTGTAGACATTCCTGTTATAGGGAACATAAAGAGGATCCAAACTTTCTCTTGATAAAGTCAAGCCTTTGTTGGAAAAGGTGTTTTATCCGTTTGGGTTTTTGCACTTCAAGGAAAAAAATTATTTCACAAGTTCCTTTGAATAAAAAGGAAAAAAGAAAGCAAATGTAAACAGAATTGGCGTGTCAGTTGTAGACATGCTCCCCAGCAGTTCCTTGGCAAAAGACAATAAAAGAAATCAAATTAAACATGGACTAACACACAAGAAAAATATATAGGCTTCTGAACGCAAGCAGGAAATTCAACACGAGTTTGCCAAGTCTCAGCGAGTCACCAGTAGGTGTCCAAGGCAAGGACCCTCTCCTGAGTTACTGCAGACTCATCACCACAGAGAAATAAATAAAATAGCACAGGGGGGTGTCTGGAGGTACTGAATGTTATGGAAAGTCCTTTTCATCCTGTTGCCTCTTATTCTATCAACACAATTAGCTACCTACCCTGTGGATATAGGTAACTTCTATCTTTTTCTTTAGGATAACATTTGAAAAAATATTCTTCAACTGAAGGCTGATTTTCCTCTGAAAAATAAAAAAGCAGGAGCATACACATTCAGCCAAAGAGTTATATCTATATAGTCAAAGACAGATCAACTTCTTGCAAGCAAAGTTTTTTGCTTTGGTTTTAATTCAGATTGGAAAATCTGGAAAATGTAGTGTATTCTAGTAAAAAAACGCACTGCATTGCAATTTAAACTGAAAAAAAAAAAAAAAAACCACAAAACTTAGGGTTAATGGTGATCCTCGCTATCAAATCAGTTCACAACAGACCTACAGACCTTTAGTAATTTTATCATACTGACTGCAGTAACTTAGGTTTCATCTCTTTCCAGCTCACCTATCTAACATGTTAAGCATGCCTAAACTAGTCATCCCATCTCCTTCTTCAAGAAACACAGAACTAAGAGCAAATCCAGAGGTCAGTTCATCTCACTTACCTTAAATACCTGTCTTAGCATGGGATGTATCACATCCTGGGCCAGCTTAGTTTTGTCAGGCTTGTCTTTCTCCAAGCCAGCTTGGCCCTTAGTTTAAGATGTCAATCACATGCATATTTATATCAAATCACATTAAATGCCTTTGTTACTGTACCCTAGCATTAAAAGGCAACTTTTGAAATACACAAGTGAGAGTAAAAATAAGCAAAAATTTCTGAATAAAGTGAAAAATGCACCAAAAATTTAAAAACATGGCATCAAAGTCTCTCCACTGCTGGAAGACTACAGAGCCAGCTCCTAAAACACTGTGATGGGTGGCGCAGTATTTGAAGGCAGACCAAAATCAATGCAGGTTAACTTCAAACACCACACGGCAAACTGCTGCAGCCTGGGGGCCGATAGACATGGGGCCAAGCCACAGGAACACAGCTGGGGACAGGCATTGTGCTGAAGCATCTTCGCTCCTCAGTCCCAGCCAGAGGCCATGGCATCCCTGGGAACGTGCTGCCTGTTGGGACGACTGCTTCACATACCCCACACCACTGGGACAAAAAGCAGCCCTACAGCTTTGCAGCTGCCAGTCATGGCAAAGACCTCAGTGTACTTCTTCTTGTATCAAAACTGTCCACGTACGATGATGCAAAAAGGGCACCAAACCTACGAAAAGCTCTGCAGGGTGGATCTGGAAGCATTTCACGTGACATACACAATTCAGATTTTATCAGACCACAGGCACCTTGTTTAAAATAAAAATAAATTCTCTCTCACCTGATTTGATTCCTACATATAAAGAAGATTATCTGGCCCAGCAGAAGTGAATCGTGAAAACTCTGGGCCCAGACAAGGAGCGTTTGTCCAGTTCAGGAGGTGCAAAGACAGGTCAGCGTCTTTGGAGGCATCAGATGCTGAACTGTTTCTCTAAGAGCTGTTGTACTAAATCTGGTATTTGCTGCTTGCATAAAGTGTTTGTTTCTGTTACCTTTGGTGACACTTCCACCTATACCCCAGAAAATCAACAAGTTCAAGGAAGAAAAACAGCAGCACCCACCTAAACAAAAAGAAAGAAATGTTTTGATGGGTCCAGTTGATAAAAAGTTGCAATGGGCAAGGAAAAAAAAAAAAAAAAAAAAAAGGATAACTAAAATTTTCCACAGAAGTGGTCTCATTGGCCTGACCACCTCAGGTCCTAATAAGAAGAATTATATATAAAGTTTATCCTTTATTCCAGAAGAGTTTCCTGTATGACTCTGAAGACAACACTTTAAAAAAAGTCTTAGAAAAGAACTCAATGCTTTCAAAAAAAATTTTTGCAACCTGTTCTTGCTCCATTTATGAGAATATGCATAACTTCCAGGTGTAATGAGAGTCCTTAATACTGACTTTTATAGTACAGTGGAAACCCAATCACAATATTTTGTATTGCGATTATATGTGCTAAAGAAACTTAACCTGAAATTAGAATCCCTGTGCATTTTCAAAAAAATAGTTTTTTATTTTGCAGGTATTTTTTGTTTCCTTCCTAAAATATACAACTTCACAACCCATGAGTCATAGGATTTACCTTGCCATAAATTAACCCCTTACATGAAATAAACCTAGTAAAACCTGGCCATTGGGTGAGGCTTCAGAAACATTTCTAAACTTTAAAGTCCACAATGGGAAAATAAAGCAACATCCAGTTGTAATTACAGAGCCCGTTTATTTTGACAAGTTAACACTGCCTACATTTAAACTTTCAAGTAATGTGGCACAATAGGAATGAATACATGGAATTAAGCACTTGGTGCTGAAAACCTGGCATCCATGCTGTCAACATTCAAGAGGTTTTGCTTCAGACTAGCTCTGATGGGATCCCATGCACTCAGCATCCATTAGCGGAGGAGTGTGTTAGGTGTGCTCCTGGAGAGTGTCATATGGTTTATTTTTATCAGAGAGAAATACAGTTTGCATACTCTGAAGATGCTCCACGATGACCCAGGCCAAACCCTGGTGAACTGAGCTGGCAGGAGGTGGCCTCAGAAGCAGACTTCTGACCCAAATGTAAATACTAATTAAACACATGCACTGTCAACATAAAAATCTCTCTCCAAATGTTTGCCTAACAAAGTTACAAATAAACACTTTAAGTTACTGTAAACAGAAAACATTTAAAGAAAAAATTGTTTGGAAAACATTTTCTGTGTCTTAAATTACTGCTCTTCTACGTAATCTGTTACTCCCACTTCCCCTACTTCTATGAAATTCCACCACAGAAACACGAGAAAGAAAAACATGTATAAATTTTAAGACATTGTACTGTACACCCCTAAAACAGTAGATATTCTGGATAAGTACAACACATATACAATACCCAGTCTCCCTTTACTGTAGTGGTCTGGTTACTAGTTGTGCTTTTCTCCCAATTTAGGAAGTTTAATGTTGCTTAGTTCCATAAAAATTTTCATGAAACGTATGACTTGCTGATAGCAAACAGCTCAAAAAGTAGTGCATTCAACATTTAAGCATTATACCCTTAACCGAGTGATAACAAACCTTAACCTTAAGGTTGAGTAGTCTTTGACTAACAACATAAAACTGAATTTTTAAGCATTAAAAAATTTCTTAATCTACAACAATCTTAAAAAAGGGCAAAACTTCAGCTCATATTTGAGACAAATCTCGGCTCAAACATCATTCTAAAGAGGAATTTTGTTTGATTTTAGCAGTTTTGATCTCCATTTCAATTGAGATAAAACCAGGAAGACGCTGGCAGAGCAACCGCTCCTTGGTGTTTCTACGCCCAGCTCATTGGAGTGTGCTTGAATGAAAAGCCCACAGAACAGGCACGTAGCCCACTCAAATCAGCAAATCTCCTATAGCTTGCCTTATACCTCATTCACCTAATGGTATTGCATTTATTGCCAGTATTCCCACTGATCGTAGAACCAGTGACTATTATTCATTTCTGCCCACCAAGAATTACACACAACTTTAAAATCAGGTTTCCCTGACAGATAACTGCAGGTCCATAAGCTTCCAGATAGAAAATATTCATGCAGCAACAGAGGTCACGTTCAAATGTTTTGAATCGCTGGAAGGTGGTTACTCAGTTGCTGTATGTCCTATACATATGTACACAAACAAACATTAGTAAAAATAGTAATCATTTCCAGACTAGTAGAAATTTTAACATGTATAAAATTACTGCCCCTAGGCTAAAATCTTCCTGCCCCACAGGCAGAAATATTAATTCTCAGAAAGTGTTCTGAGAATTGCATAACAACTCTGGAAGGAAGAAACTTTGAACTTGCCACCACAAAGGTGTGGAAGCTGCTGTGGTTCTGCATCAGTGTGCTGGTGCTCCCAGCGAACAGAAAGAAGTCCAATGGAGCTGCCAAATGGAGCGATGGGAAGAACATGAGTAAGGGAAACTCAGCAGCTTTATCTCACCCTTTCTCTGGTGAGAGTGGGGTTCTTCAGGGACAGCAAGCAGGATACATTCTTCACAGTACACCTGACTTTTACTTAACTTGTTGCTTAAACCTATTTTCAGTGACAACGCAAACAAAATGCTAGCCTGACGAGCCTACAGTCTGTTAAAATATGACACTAATAAAAAACAAATAGTGATGAGATGAGTTCCCTCAGAGCACAAGTTCCTGTTTTCTACGTATAAACCAACCATGTTAAAAAAATTTTTGCAACATCATAAAATACAGTTCTGGTAACTGACTTGCTCAGTATCCATCTCAGCTGTGACTTGTTCCTCCAGTTTGCAGAACATTAGGTAAGGGAAGAAATCTCCCTACCCTCTTCCTTGGGTTGAAAGGAAACACCAAGCCAAAAGCTGTACATGAAGATCAGGATTTCTGGTCTTCCTCTGATGGGACGACTTCCAAGAGGATTTGCAATGTTTCAGTTACCTTGTCTGCAACGACAAAAGTATATGCATGAGAAATT